AACAGACGGTGCGGGCTTTTACAAGCGGAACTGGAAGATCAGAGTGCGATGGCTCCATTCCAAGGCAATCTTAGCAGAAACATGTTCACATGTGAATTGGTCGCATGAGCCAGCCGTTGTCAAGCGCGAGCTGCAAGTACCAGTTCCGCTACTCATGCACGGAAATGCGTTTTTCACACCTCATGGCACATATGGTACACAAGAACGTGGAGCTGCACTTAGAGGCTCGTCATTGGGCGCCTAGTCAGTATGATTGTCATGCACCAAGCAGCTTTAAGGCATCCTCTTTTTCTTGATGTCCGTGCATATTTGGACTTTGCGCGTGGGCTATAGTGTCTTCGGGGAGCTCTTCTCAGCCGCCTTTGTGCAAAATGGACGCCATACTAGATGAGCACGCAAACTCCGCCCCCTTACCCAATGGGCTCATGTGGCTAGCTATATGTGTGTATATATATATATATGTGGGAACCCCTTGGGCCCTCAGTATATACTACATAGCTACATGGACCCTTTGGGTAAGCTTTCATGCTTCAGATCCTCGAAGGCAGCACGGGAGCAGTCGCTTCTGGGGAACTACGAGGCAAGATTTCTCTGTCGCAGGGGTATAGTGTAAAACCAAGTCACCCTGCGTAGCTTTGCTATAAGGCCGCGGCTACATGAAGGCAACAGTCACACTGGGTGTGTGCGTGTAAGAGGACACACACACAACAGACCATGTGCATTTTGTAGGGCAAAGCGTCAGGGTTTGTGGTAGAGTGCGTAGCAACGTACATGCCACGGAGTCATCAGTGCTGTGCAGGGTATCGTTTCACGGAGATCGGTCTTTGGTTTTTTTTTCAGAGGCCTGCGATCAAGTCCTAAATCTCAATCTCCAAGCCGCAATCTCCATTCGCACGCCCGTAGCGTGAAGCCACATCCCCATGTCCTAGAGGCGATTGTGCAACATCCAGATATTCCTTACCCCAGCGGCTGTGTCTCCAGGTAAAAATTGCCGCGCGTTTCTTTGTTGTAGCTGTTTGCTGGCTTTTGCCTTTCTGTTTGCTCCTCCTCTCTCGTTTGCCCCTTTGCGCGGCAGCATTGAGGACTTGAGAATCATCAGTGCTTTCACTATTACTACCGGATTGCCCATCCTTATGAGCATTGCAGCCACTACGTTATTCACGCGATGAACGCAGCCTGCGCAGGACTGAGCAGTGCAATTTGCGTGCAGTCCCGCATACGTACAGTAGACCACGCAGGGAGCATACCTCAACACCAGACTCCGAAAACTACCCCTGGGCTCCAGTTAGCTGGCTGCGCACCCTATGATACAGGCTGTATACATCATGCAACAATCTTGGATAATCATGGATGGAAGAGTTGTCTTTGGGTTTTCTGTGGTAGGCATGTCTGCCATCTACTGCGCCCAGACGAATGCAACCTCCCGAACCCTAATCCCTAGATCCTAAGCCCTAACCCCTCAATCATTAAAAATCAGAAGCTCTAAACCACCCTAAACCCTGAACTGCCCCCTAATGCCCTAAACCATCCAAGCCCTAAGCCTTAAACCACATGAGCCATAATCTAAACTCCTGAAAGGGGGTTGTATAGGGGATTATGTAGGGAAGTATTATAGAGATATTGAGGGGGATAGGAGTTTAGATTATGGCGCACATGAGTAGTATTTTATTTGGGGACACTATGGTACCCAATATAGAGTAAGATCATATCCTCTTTTTGGGGTATAGTATTTTATATAAGGAAGATTATCTTACTAGGTTCAACCACCCTAAACCCTAAACCCAAAACTAATATAATCTTACTAGGTTCAACCACCAAGAAAACACTGCTGACATGGTATTTGGAGCCCACTTTGCAGTCTGCCCTGGAGCGCTACGAAGCGGCCTTGGCCTTCTCTCCGGAGATGTTAGCAGCTTGTCGGGTGTTAGTCACTTTTTTCTGGTCTAGGGTTTTAGGGTTTGGGGTTTGGGAGTTTGGGACTTAGGGACACTTCCCCAATGATGGAGAACAACATGAAGAAGATGGAACATGCAAGGACCCCGAGAACCCCCAAATAGGCCAGACGCTTTGAGAAACCCGGAGTTCTCTTCTCATTGCCTTCAGCGTCCTTCTTGCGCGGTTCGCAATCAACCAAGGTGTTTTGTTGGAACCGGGTCTTCTGTGAGAAGCTATGGCTTACGTTATGCTAGGACACTCTGCCGCTGACTAGATAGTATCAGATAGGGTTCACAAGCACAGAAGCAGAATGAGCAGGGCTCCTCGTGGTGGTCGTAATGTAATCAAGGCTGATAAGCCCAGGTAAGGAAGAATCAGGTCTCGGATACAGATTGTTTAGGTCGACCCCTCACCCAGCAATAGGGACTGTACGGGATAGTTAATGGTTAGTTTCTACGGTCCTCTCGATTAAAGGAATATGACATCTTATACCGCTGATACTGGGTCAGGGCTCCACCTAGCCCCAATAAACGCGAAGACTCAGACCTCTAAGCCTATGTTTTAGTCGCTCTCTAGTGGGGGGCGATGTGTCCTTTCGAAGGGCTGGCTCAGAGACTGATGGTCAACTGCACATGGGAACCTCAGTAGGTGGGACTGTTCTCCCTGGACAACTTCAGAAGCGCGGACTAATGCACTCCAATGCCATGGTCCTACCTGTTTGGGCTTCTACATCATCCCCCCTCTGTTGCCACATCCTAAACCCTAAACC